CAGCCAATTTGAACATATTTTATGAAAACGATGTGAGGATGTTTAGCCTTTAGTTTGCTTTTCTCTGCTATCAGCAGTTCTATTTTAGGATATAAGCAATTTTTGCTGTGTGGGGAACAAACCCTGAATTATAATGGATGCTTCTTTGCCGCATCTGAAAACCACACATCAGTGAGTCTTCCACCTGATTATATATCGTCCTTATTTTCTATTGTAAATAAACGGCATATTTTGTCTAAATTATACCAATAGCACTTTAGACTTATATACTGCTCCGTAGAGCTTTACAGGACCCTCTGAGCACATTCAGCATTCATAACAATCAGGGTCCTCATTTTACCAACCTCAGAAGGATGGAAGGCTGAGTCAACCTTGAGCCGGTCAGGATCAAACTCCTGGCAGTGAGCAGTGAGTTAGGTCTGCAGTGCTGCATTCTAACCACTGGCCCACTACAGCTCATTCAAGGTCTGATCATTTAATAACTCAGCATATGTTAACACTGAGAGCCAATATTGAAATGGCAAAGGTAAATGCTGATACAGATTCACAGAATTGGAAGGGACCTTGTAGGACATCTAATCCAACTAAAATTATTTCCTTGCCTCAAGCCAGAACAATATATTATGAAGGTATTTCTCTTCTCCGTCCTTCCTGATAGAACAAATATAGGGCCGTAACCTCTCTCCATTTATTAATTTATGCATATTTACGCTGCTCTATACAGTGTGTGTGTGTGTGTGTGTGTGTGTGTGTGTGTGTGTGTGTGAAAGGAGTTTCTGTGGATTTTACTTTTCTAGTTGCTGCTGACTGTAGGTGGAGGTGGTCAGCTCCATTTCAAGGTCTTTAAACCTACGCTGTCTGAAGACATTTCTGTGGTTATGTGGCCAACCTATTTTTCAAATCACTTGAAGGCAGGACAAGAAGCAAGGGATGGAAACTAATCAAGGAGAGAAGCAACCTAGAACTAGACACAAGAACAGATTTTCCCCCGAAAGCCATCACCGCTAAACAAATAATTCCCTCAACACTGTCCAGCTATTTACAAAGTCTGCATTGCTATTAATCTTCTCATCATTCCTTATCACCCATCCCCTCCCACTTGTGACTATAGGGCTGTAACTTTGTCGCTTGTATCCTTATGATTTATGTGGACTGTTTCCTAGTATGATTTGATGGCTTATTGTACCCTATGACTATCATTAAGGGTGGGAGCTTCATCACTGGAAGCTTTCAAGAAGAGACTGGGCCGCCATCTGTCAGAAGTGGTATAGGGTCCCCAGCTCAGGCAGGGGGTTGGACTAGATGACCTACAAGGTCCCTTCCAACTCAGTTCATCTGTAATCTGATTCTTGAGGAATGTATCTTTTCTTTTTATGCACGCTGAGAACATATGCACCAAGGCAAATTCCTTGTGTACCTAATCAGAATTGGCCAATAAAGAATTCATTCATTCATTCATTCAGTCAGTCAGTCAGTCAGTCATTCAAAGGGTCTTCAAACTTGGCAAGTTTAAGATTTGTGGACTTCAACTCCCAGAATTCCTGAGCTAACATGACTGGAAGAGGAATGCTGGGAGTTGAAGTCCACAAGTCTTAAAGCTGTCAAGTTTGAAGAGCCTTGATTTATTCATTCAAGAGAAAGGTCATAACCAGTGAAACGACTTGTCTCCAGAACTTGTGAATGCCCTAACTGAGCAAGAGGATGGACTAAGAAGACCTACAAGATCCCTTTCAACTTTATTCTTCTGCAGCCTGACCTCCAAGGTCCCTTCGCCTACGATTCCATGGTTCGATCTTGTGACCACGGGCTCCTAAACACGATGGACCGAAGGGAGCAGGGACAGGCCCGGGTTTGGACTAGAAACCCAAGTCCAGCAGATGGAAAACACAGGAAACAAGACGTGTCTCAGGGTTGCTGAGAGCTCCTCACTCATTGTCCAAGTGATGTTTAGCCATTCTGATGGGCTGCAGAACAGACAGCTCAAGCCTGAGATGAGTAATCTGCCCAAGTCCCTCTTCGGAAGGCAATGAAAGCGAGGCTCCACTTTGAAAATCCTTTACCCATCATGCAAACTGACACAGGCATGCTTTTCAAAAAACCCACAGCCAATCTGTTGATCATTACTTATTTACAAAGGCCTTCAGGCAGAAAGTCCTGTAAAAACTATACTTGATACGATATACACTAGCTGTTTCGGCTTGTGGGAAGGGGGGGGTGGGTTAAGGGTGGGGAGGGCGGGAAGTTCCCCCTAAGGCTACCTCCAACCATCACTTTCCATTGCACATAAAATGTACCGTGTAACACTAAAGTATTTAATATATATGGTATAATATATCTACGGGAAAGGCATCTGTGTAGAACTGTGTTAGCCCGTATTTGGTAATTTGATGTTTTGCTGAAGGCAATGACTTGAAAAAGCCTCTACCTAGCATTGAGGACCTGTCATCTTAGTACCCATGAGCCAGTAGAATAAAGAAGTACCCTGAAGCAGCAAAACTTTGACACAGCTTTGAAGCATATGAAAACAGTAGAACTCCCCAGAATTATTATCACTCCAGATCAAAGAAACGAAGCATACTTTACATAGCAAACAGGGACACATCACATCACTCCAAACGATACTGGGTTCTCTGCCCTTTCGCTCTTTTTTTTTTTTCCCTTCTTCTTTTCTTTCACGTTTATATCCCTATATTTATCAGATAACAGAAGGACTGGTGGGGGGGGAATTTCTCTTTCTCTCTTCTCTGTCAAATTTCACACGAGCAGAAATTAATAGAGTTGAGATACAGAGAAGATAAAGGATGCAAGGATGTACTCCAGCAATGGACAAAATAAGTCCACTCTGGACTCATCTTACTCCCTTCCTGGCATAAACCTAGAGGTAAATGAGTCCTGTATCAGCAAGGATGAGCAACATGGGCGCTGGGATGTTGTATATAAAGCCACAATCGTCGTTCAACAGAAAGAGAACAGAAAGATGCCAACCCCTCCTGCCAATCTCTCGTTTCCTGCCCTTCCGTTCTAAATTCCAAACGAAAATGGGTATATTTGAGGAAATGCATTGTAGTTTTGGGGAGCAATTAGTTCCCCAAACAAAGCAGGAAACAGTATGTGTCTGAATCTCCGTGCATCGTGTGGTTTTTAATCTCCCTTTCCTGGTTTGCCTCTTTTCAAGACCCCAAAATTGTAAGGCGCAGGACACTGAGAAAAAACCTGGGTTAGGCCTACTCCATCTTCCAAGCTCGGATTACTTTATGCCTCCTACCTGTAAAAGTGCCACCACTGGGAAAGGACACTCATCCACGAGGAATTCAAATTCCCTTTAAAATCCCAAGTATAAGGAAATGCCGATTTCAGACACCCCCCCTTTTTTTTAAATAATCTGATGCTTTTGCCTCCAAGAAAATTAAGGAATAATACTGAAGAGGTTTGAAAAGAGGAGCCCTCTCCAAGTTTACTCCTTGTTGTGCATAATCTCTTTACAAATGAATCTTTACAAATTCTTACAGGAAGTTTCTGCCCTTTAAGACTTTCATCCTAGCGAAAGCACTTGTAGGAACAAAGTGTTCAGAGCTCTTCAACGACACCTTAACAAGAACCACAACACCTCTCGTAATTAATGCAATTTTTTTTTTTTAGCCTCAGGACGAGGATGTTAAGTTTTCAACTTTGCTTCGGAATATTCTTTTATCCCGTCCCGTTCCTCCCTCTCCATCCTCTTTTGTAAAGAATCATTCCAAATCAATTAGAGGAAATTTGATTTCAATCGATAGGGTAAAAAGGAAGGTAATATTCAGGTTCATTTCTGATTGCGGTGATACATCTCACATACGGTTTTAAGTACAGAAAACAGCACTCGGAGGGATTTCAAGAAAAAAAGAGCATTGCCCGAGGCAAACTCACCCCACGGGCTGCTTGGATTGGTTAGCGCTATCATTAGTGCCACTGCTGTTTAAGAACTACACGCAGACAGGCTAGATGACAAGTAAGACTTTAAAGCCTGTGTATTTTTCAAACAGTTTTTCAAACTGTTTTCCATGACAGATTTTTTTTTTCTTCCCCAAGCTCTATCATTAACCGCTGACAAGCTGACAGAATAAATACTCCGGTGTTTCAGAAACCGTCTAACAATCTTTTACTTTTTCGAACACCCTGCCACAAATCCCTTTTCTTTTTTTCCTCCTTAGGTTATTTTTTGGGTGGGTGTGTGGAGTTTGTCGGTGAGATTGCTGTCTTTTTTTAAAAAAAAAAATATTTATTATTATTATTTTTCTTAAATATACATCCATATTATGTGTGAACCAAGTTGGTTTGGGGTATCATTCATATTGATCCAATTCATCATAACAATATTATTAATCTCTATCCCATTTTTCAAATTTAAGTAATCCTCATTATATCGTTTAAACATATATAAACAAAAAATGCCTAACTCCTCATCATTGTCTCTATCTACATCTATATGTCTTTCTTGTTCAATCTAAACATTTCTCTATTACATATAAACAAAATTAATTCTGAAGTATCATTCAAATTGATCCAATTCACGCTAACAATGTTGGGAATCTCTATCCCATTTATTAAATGTAAGTAATTGTCATCTTATTACTTATATCTTTTCTTTAATGTACACTGAGAGCCTATGCACCAAGACAAATTCCTTGTGTGTCCAACCATACTTGGCCAATAAAGAATTCTATTCTATTCTATTCTATTCTATTCTATTCTATATTCTATTCTATTCTATTCCTCTAATTCTATTCTATTCTATTCTATTCTATTCTATTCTATTCTATTCTATTCTATTCTATAAATACATTTTAAAAATTTGCCTAACCTCTGTAAACTTCTAGTCTTTCTATCTATTATCTTTATTCATTCTATAAAAAATTCTATTCTAATATTTCCCCTATCTAATTTTATTTCTGCCTCCTTTAGTTTACATAGATATTGTTGTCTTGAGGAGGAGAAATAAAGATACAAGCGACTTAGAGCCTCACCTCATCAGTTTGGGCGAAGAGTTTGGAGAATTCCTCATTCCTCCATTCCGTTGCTTCCTTTTGGGTGACAACGTCAGTTGTTCATCTTCAACTAAAAACACAGGTAGCTTGTGAGTTTATGACCAAGCTCAGCCATGGAAATACAGGTGAAATAGTCAACAACACCCTCCCAGTTCCATTCACACGGTCTTAACTAATTGCTTTTTTTTTTTTTAAGGTTGAATAAAACCCATCCTGGAGTTGGTGAAAAGAGATGGGTTGAAAATTCAAGGAAAAGAAGAGAAACAAGAGGACTTGAAGTTATTCTTGACAGGCTTAACTTTAAAAAAAGTCTTTTTTTTAAACCCAAGGTGTGTTTTTTTAAAAAATAAACAGAAATCAGGTCTGCGTTGCAAAGTGTAAGTAGTAATTCAGAAATGAAACATCAAAACTGCTAGACAGAACTTGGTTAAAGTAAGTGGATTTCCTTTTTTTTAAAAAAAAAACCTAATTGGAGCATTCCAGGAAAAATTTAAAACGTTCAAGCCTTGATTTTAAATGCAGCAATAAATAAATGTTTTCCCCTTGATTTCAAAATGAAATATTATCATAGAATGAAATCCATGTGGCCAATGGACAAAGGAAAGGATTTATAAAAATGAGCACCAGGTTTGAAGAAATAGCAAAAGATACAGATGCTTTAGGGTTGTTTGTCATTATTGCATCCTTTGGCAAAATTCTACAGCACAGCAGTTTTTAACCTTCAACACAATGACACCAGCCTCAGACTCAGACTCAGTATCTTTATTACAGTAAAGGGTATTATTAATGGATTGGTATTTTTGCTTATTAGAAGTTTAGCAAAATGCTTCTGCGTTCAAAAGCAAACAAACAAATTCATATCCCCAAGTGAACAGGAATGGAAACCAATACAAAACAGTACGTTAAGAACAGTAACAACAAAATGGTACAAGAAATCATTTCACTGGAAGAAAGAGGAATAAAACGTAAAGAAGTAGGAGAGTGAGGAGAGGAAAGGAAAGGAGACAACTGTTTTCACTGAAAATTAATCAGGCTATAGAGAACCGAGAGAAATTTAAGGCTAACATCTAGATTGCACTTGTAATAGGTTTACGGTATGGTTGTGGGCAGTTGGAAACCCATATATTAAACCCCCTAGGGATATTTTTCTGTAATTTCCATCTTTCCATCCATCAGTGGGTCCTTCCCTCTGTCTAACTTTATAAATTCAGCTGTGTCCCAATCTAGAGCAGAAGCTTAAATATCCTGCGATGATTATAGGAAAACAAGAAGTTAAAAACCTTCTAAGCAGAACACTGGAATGATTAGCTTCGAACAGTAGATTCGATTTCCTCAATTTTATACAGCAAACTTGTGTGTGTGTGTGTTTGTGTGTGTGTGTTTATTCATTCTATACACACACACACACACACACACACAGTATATGTATATATTCATATTCCATTCTTTGCACAACACAGACTTAGAAATGTTCAAGCTGTTTTGCTTGTTACTTTGTTTTTAAGGCAAGGCACAGACACAATAAGATGTAGATAGATATGACTGGTTCTAAAAGAGAATGAAATATATCAGTGGGCTTCCAAGTACGTGGAAACAAAGGAACAAACGGAAACCTTATCCATGAGCCCCCAGAAGTTCTTTTATTCAGTGGGATTGTGCATGCTCCCTATTATTTATGAATGGGCAAAACTCACATTTTTCTTTGAATCCTTGTTGTCATAAGATGGCATTGTCGGAATCCGTCACACCTTCTCTAATTGTACACGTTTACTTCGTGCCACGTAAAGTAACCCTCGGCATTTGTTCTGCTAAAACCATTCTTGTGCTAGAGAGCACTAAACGGAGCCCTCCCTTTTTAATAACATCCATTTATGACACTCTAAGGCAAAGCTTTGCTGGTAATCCACCCACAAATGCCTTTTGGGCATGATTCCAACCCAATACAGCTCCTGTTATGTTTTTAACAGGAAAACAAAAAACAGAAATCCGAGCAGTTGCTAAAATCTCTCCTTTGAAGTTTGTTACTTGAAGTTTGTTACAAAAGATTGTTAATCGTTTAACTGTGATTGGACGATGATGTCAATTGGATTGGATGAGTTGCAGTTGAATTCAAGTCAAGTAAAATGAAAGGGAGCTCACTAATGCTGGCGGATCCAAATGGCTATGGAGGGCGGTCCCATTCAATGATTCTCAGGTAGGGCTAAAATAGCAATAGCACGTAGACTTATATACCACTTTACAGTGCTTTACAGCCCTCTCTAAGCAG